TCATACACAAGCACAATCAATGCTGTCTCAGTACTATAAACTAGCCTGAAAGCCAACTTGAAAGGATCCAGATAATAGGATTCTTCCAGGGCACTTTGCAGCTGTGAATCTACAACCTTCTCAACAACTTTCCCTAAAAAGAGATGTTTGGAAACTGGATGAAAATTGTCCAGTACTATTAGTTTATTAAGACATGCTGGAATGGCATCAATAATTATTGAAAAATGTCTGTATCTCACAAATTCTCTTAGCCTGAATTATCCACATAGTTCAGTAAACTGGTTCTGTTTGAATATGGAGATATAGTGGATCTGCATGCACTTTTGACTATTTCGCAACTCTGAATAAATGTCCCAATAAAAATTTTTGCTGCAAAGCTCAACTGTGTCTAGAAAATATATAGCAATTTAGAAAATGACTTCTTTGCTTTAAAGAAATACAAACTGTTTATAATACAATACAAACCACCATAATAATAGCACAAGTTTAGCATCAACAACTGTTTGACTTTAGGTGCTACAACGGGTCTCCTTTTTTATGCATTCTCAGGGGAGAGAGCTGCTAGGCCTCATATTAGAAGCCTCAAGACCTCCCCACTTAAAGGGGTGTATATAATTTAACAGATGCTATAATTGCTACTGACCAGTAGGAGGCACTATGTGACCTATGTAACTATTGTACTGCCCATTGTTGCCTTCTTTGGTGATCCTGACCACTGATGACAAAGGTCCTGAAAAGCCCTTTGTAGCCCTTTGGGTTCAGTGGCTTTTCTGCTACTTCCAGGATTGTGATAGACTACACACAGTGTTGAAATTTCACTTTGATAATGGATAATGCTGCAGCCAGGGGAGGAAAGTGATGTGAGGGATTCTCTGACACTGCCATGGACGTCTGGCTATTGGAGGTTCTTTCTTCATTACCTTCTGATTATTAAAGCTCTTTTGGGGTGAGGGATTCTTTTGTTTCTCTATTTCTGCTAACCTTTGTGTTTTTCACTCTTTCTAGGATTTGTGTGCTGGGCAGCATATTCCACCTGAGGTGAGACAAAGAGAAGGGAGACCATCCCGTTCTGCTGCTCTTGCTCTATAGGATGTGGCCTTTCCTCAGATCCAGATAACATAAGCATCCTGTTTGTCTAACCTGGTCTCCCTGTGCTTGTCTGATCTTAGCTCTTTCAGTTCCCCTCTCCTTTAATTCTCCTCACCCCAACTCACACTTACCCCCCAAAAACTGGTACTTGTCTATCTGTATTTTGAATGAATCTTAATTAAGCCTGAGAGGGGGTTTAATGTTACATTATTGTCAGATACACACACACTCACTGAACATACACACACACACAGAGTATTTTGTGTTCAGTAATTCTTATATGCCTTTATCTCAGGGATTTATTACTTTAATAAACTAATTTACTAAATTGATTAAAATAAACATTAATCAAATGAACTGTGGCAGCAGACATGAGGCAGGTTTGAGCAGAGGGAAGAAAAACAGAGTAGGCTTTGCAGATGACCCAAGCTGGTCAACTGCTCTTTTTCTATATTTTTGTATCTTGCTCCTAATACTGACACTAAACACACCTTGTAGAAGTCTGTAATTCTTGCTCCCTTGTTCATGGCTTGCTGTGAGAGGTTTCAGAGTGGCAATAGCACCCTCCCCCCCAGCACTGACTTATCTAAGATTCAGTGGAACTCCACATATTTGATGCTCAAACAATTAGTTGAGCAGCAGCAGGCAATCTTGTGAGACAGCCTGGGGCTGGGGATTTTTTGTGTGAGGGGGAGATCTGTATTAAGAGGCCATTCAACATGCAGTAGTGGGAGATCACCTTACAAGTAGTCCTCGAGCCATTTATTGAGGCTGCCAATCTTAGTGCCACCACTGCCCTTCTTATCCAGTTGCTTTCCCTTGTGAACTATCTCCAGCAGGAGGTGGAGAGCTTTCTTACGCCCAGCACTCCATGGATGAAGAAGTCACTGGCCACACCTGTGCAGACTGTGGTGAATAGCTGAAGGATGAGATCAGGAAACAACTGCAGATACTTTTTAGGCAAAGTTGTATGTGCTGGCAGACATGTGTGACTCTTGACTGAAAGGAAAGGTACATGAGAGGAACACTCCCTGCAGCAGTGGGAGAATGAACTGGTCACGACTATCCAGAAAATACAGAATCAGCAACAGGCAAGGGTAGAAGTGCAGCTCCACTTTGACCAGGTGGCAGTCCTGAGAGCAAATCTCAGCCAACACTCCCAGCAATAGCTGAAGGCAGACAGGGTTCTTTAATTATGCTGGTCTTTGAGTGTAATAAAGATTTGATTTGAGGGTTGTTTAGCAACTGCTGCTGCTTCGCCATGAGCAGAGGGCAGTGGAATCCTTGGGTGGAATTTGCAGCACCCACCTATGGAAGACAAACAGCCCAGACTCCTCTATTACCACCTATGCTGGAGGCAACCTAAAGCCAAGGTGACAATGTTTGGCCATGCTTGCTTGGGAATATTGGTCATGTGTTCAGCAGGACAGGAAATGGTGTCACATCCCACTGGCCTTATTGGAACCTGAGTTGGTGAAGCTCAGGTGTTCCTGAAAGTGAAATGTCCCATTCCTGGGATACCTCAAGATGAATCTATAGAGTGAATGCCCATACTCCCTCTATTGCATACTTACAGTATTATTTAATGATTTACAGTTCTTATAGCCCACTCCAAGTAGAAAGCTCTGGGTGGGTTAGAACAGAGTAGAAATATGAAATAATATAAAATGTAAACTCTATTAATACCCACCCACCTGAGATGGATGCCTCTAGCAATTAACTAGGGATAAAACCTCAGGGGAATAGGGCCATTCTGACTGTTCTTCAAATGCTATAAAGGAGAGGGCTCTGCAAACAGCTAGGAGTAGAGATTTCCAAAGTGTGGGGGCCACAGCAAAAAAGGCCTATCATTCAGTCGGTGTCTGTAGGAGGACCTTTTCAAGCTATACTTCCTGGATGGGCAGATTCAATACCAGCAAGGCAGGATGCCTGGTCCTGTTATACAGTACAGGTCTTTAGAGGTGATGATCTGCAATATTGTTGGTATTTTTCTATATTTGTTCAGCACACTTGAGGCAGGAGTCATGTTTGCAGTTCTCCCCATTATTAATTCCATCCATAAGGCTTAACTTAGACTTCATCAAACAGTCTCTCAGCTGTTAAATGTATTAATTTGAGCAGGGAGGAAGGCTTTGCCCACAAAATTCACTCCTTCTGAGAAAGGACTAACTCCAGACTTTTCATATTAGCATTTTCTTCACTGGACAATTTGGAAATCTTAATAATAATAATAATTTATTAAACTTGTATTATATAAAATGTATTATCACATTTAAAACATATTATTACATTTATACTCACTGCAATCAACCAAGACTTTCCTCATCCATGCTACTCTGACCTCCTGCCTTAGAAGACACTCAGTGCAGCCAGCTATAAGCTTATAAATGCTCAGAAAAGAAAAACTTTTCTTTAGTTGGCCTGTGGCAATGTAAGCTTAACTCTGAGTGCATGAGATGGCCGCAAAAGCGCATTATTCCTCTTAAGCAGGAAAGGGTGCAAGGTGTGACTACATTATTGCAATGACTCAGCCAGGCTGTTGACACACTGATCCAATAAATAGGTTGTCCTCCTATGCCTGCTGACTACTTGCCAACACCTGCTCCACTTTGGCATAACCTTTAACTTTGAACTGAGGACATTTGTTTTCTTTATACCTGTAACAGCCTCTTCTGCCTGCTGCCTCTGTCTCTGTACGTCTCTGCTCCCAAGGCTACAATGACTCAGCTGGGCTGTTGACAGCACTAGTCCAATCAATGAGCATTATTTGTCACTTCCGGATCTTCCTAGACCAGCTTGTTCACCTCTGCTAGCCAGCTGCTTGCCAGAGCACACTCTCCCAATTCTGACAGGAGAATAATATATTGTGCCCCTGAGGAAATATCAAGTGTGTTTCCCTCAAAATGAGAGCCACCCTTCTACCAGAAGGAATTCTGGGTGACAAACAAAATAAAAACACAATACACTGAAAAGAGCATTTAAAGCAATAAACAGTGCTGAGGCCCTGGCAAACCTCACGTCCATCCACCAACCACTCCATGCCAGCTCCACAACATCCTGGGCCGAGTGCCTGGGACAAAAGCCAGATCTTCACTGTTTTTGAGGGTGGATATGTTGTTCAATCTGAAAAAATGTCTGCAGGATCAGTTAGCCAGAATGGAGATCTCCCTGACTGAATGGGGGCATAGGTCTAACTATTTGGCATGGGTTGCGATCCTCTCCCTCATCTGCCCAGTGCTTTGCTTTCTCACTGTTGGAAGGGAAGGGCAAGATAGATGCTTCAAATATGGCAGGAAAGGTACTGGCTTAGGGCATTGGCTGCCTTGCTTTCCCTTCAAGGGCTTGGGATGGATGACATCCTTTACAACTTGCCCATGATGTGACCCCGTTCCTCTTAGGTCAGGATTCAGGTGCAAGGAATTAGACAACAAACACCGGTGCTTCTAGTAAGTTGCAATGGTTAAGATATTGGACTAGAACTAGGGAGAGCCAGGTTCAATTCACCCTCAGCTACAGATGTTCACTGGGTGATTTTGGGCCAGCCCCTCTTTCTCAGCCCAACCTATCACATAGGGTTGTTGTGGGGGCATATTGGTTGCATCTGCTGTCGTGGCAAGTCACGACATGAAAGCTATGAAACCACACCAAAGTTGTATGTTATTTTAGACACTCCAAGTCTGTTTCTCACTTGGCAGAAGGATGTTTTGTGGACAAAGAAAAACAGACAAAATAGCTCTTCCATTTATGAAAGTATCCATATGTTCTACCTTGTATTAAACAGGGCATTTTGACTATGTTAAAATAATATGGAAATGGATTTTCCTTAGAGTTTAAAATAGAAAGTTCTTGTGCAACAGATGGGTGGGAACTTCAAAATAAATCTCACAGTGCAGTGTAATCAATTTGCAGAGTTTATTATCCCAATATATTGCACTAAATTTTCTAAACTGCTTGGGAAGTTCCCATTAACATTTGTGTTTGACTGATGAAGAGAGAAATGTAAACCTAAGTTTAAAGGCTTTATGTGGATATTAGGCTTGTCCAGTAGAAAATTATATTTGATATTAGAAAAAAATAGTGGGGATGGTCAATATGTGTAGCTTTTTAAAAACTCTTATTTATTTAAAACATGTATTTGTTACTTTTCAGCCACCACTCTCAGAGCTGCCTAAATCATAACATAAAAATAAAATTCAAACAATAGTAAAGTACAACAGGAAATTAAATATCAGTATAAAATGATTATCACAGTAAAATACATAAGGAAATAAATCAAGTTTTCTCTGGCATTTAAACCTAAAATCAAGTCTATGCCAGACCAATATATTGGAAACTTTTATAGAGTTTGATCTTGCAAGAAAATAAACTGGGCTAGCTTACATATAAACCATACAGCAAAGCACGACCATTTGTACTAGATGAAATAATGTACTTTAGTCTCCAAACTAAAGACAGGTGGCAACTTCAGATGCAAATGGACATTTTTAATTTTGTAACATAATTATTTTAAAAAATAGAGAATTATCTTTAAAGTAAGTAATTATAAAACTGACTTATCAATGGGATATTTGAATCAGATTTGCAGCAGTCAATGCTTGCTAGGAACATTCTGTGTTCTGTCACTGATCACTTTTCTGTATGACTAGCAGAAACAGAAGGAGTACAGCTTCATTATTTAAATTTATAAAAGATCCAGCTTTAAAGAATTTTGCTTTTTTTTTTACATATAGTTTATACATTGAGGAGTTTATATATTTTATGCACAGAGTAAGCACAAGTGTACCTATTCTTCATAATTACCAAGTCAGGTAGAATAGAAGACTTTGTTCCTCCGCATTTATTGTAATGCATATTTTCAGCATGACATTTATATTCAACCTTTTCTCTGAGAGCTCATTGCAGACGATATGGGCATTTCCTTTCATTTTAGCCTCAGAACGATGCAGTAAAACAGACCAGGTGGAAAGAGACTGACAGGTAGCCCCAAAGCATTCATTGAGGTCCAAGGTGAAAACTTAACATTTCAGAACTGCAGTGTATGGACTGTCCTAGAGCATTCATTTGAATATCAGTCTTGCAATCACTTGTCTCCTCTTAGCTACCTAAATCCCCATGCCCAAATAAGTATGAAAAAGTTTACAGTCTTAAGCCATTAAGAATTTTAGTTTGGGTAACAACTGCCATGGATCTAATGGATTTTGTCAGGTTCCAAGGCTAATTTCTCTTTGGGCAGAACTTTTAAGTGGCACTACAGCTTTGCTTTAATAATAGATTTTATCTTGTAAAATAATACTGAGTCGATTAAAAATATTTTAGAATGTGCTTTAAAATTACAGAGTGCTGCCTTGAAGAATTACCAGCACTGTTTTATATGTATACATTCAAAAATAGTTCCATTCTGTTCAATGGAGAAGTGTGCACAGGATTGCAGTTTATGATGTTATTTTATACTGAAGAAACATTTTTAACAGGAATTCAAGTAAAAGGAAAGGATGGTGCTTCTATATATATAGTACAGAAAGTCACTTTTTCCCAAGACATTTCTTAATCAGATGTCCCACCAGCTTCTGTGGCCTTGTCTGGTATTCCTTCAAAACATCATGCGGTGTGGAGATCTGGTCACCTTCAAGTCGGTTCAGGAGTGTTACACATACTACAGCACCTTAACATTTATAAAACAAGATCAAAGTTATTCCCCCCCAAATTATTTGAAAACTAGTAATCTAATAAATAAAAAATATAACAACAACAATAATAATACATGAATACTGAGAGAAAAAACATGTTATTATCTTATTTTTATAAGTAGGAGAGGGAGTAAACCATTTAAGGGAGATACAACTCAGTTGACAATGGTAGGGATCAGAATAAGTCAAGAGAGGGCATGGCAATAGTTATGCAATAAAATATGTTAAGATCTGTTATGGTGCATTCATAAATAAAGCAAGAAGCTGTGAACAATGGAAAAGAAATTTAGTCTCAAACCATTGTTTCCAAATTTTGTATATTTCCAAGTTATCTACATATGCTTATAAAATTTATTTATTTATTTATTTGATTTATACAATTGCCCATCCCACAAAGTGACTCTGTGCAGCATACAAGGATTAAAATAATAGCTACAGCATATAACCCATGATGCCCAAGGTTAAAATAATAAACCTCAAATCACAAAAAACATAGCAGCAGCAGAGCTCACTAAACCTCCTGGCCCAAAATCATGGGGAAACAACTAGGTCTTTCGATGCCTTGAAAAAGGCTAACAGGATCAGGTCCATCCAAATTTCTAGAGGGATGTTGTTCCACAGGGCAAGTGTGCCACAAAGAAAGCACAACTCCTGGGTCCAACAAGATGGGATGGCACTGTTTGATAGACAGGACCTGGAATATGCTCACTCTGCTAGATCTAATGGGCCCAGCAGAAACAATGGGACAGAGGGGATTCCACAAATAGCCTGGCCCTATGCCATATAGGGCTTTCTTTACAGGTGATAACCAGCACTTTGTATCACACCTGCAAGCCTACTGGGAACCAGCACAGTTCACAGAGCAGCAGAGCATAACAAGAAACGCCAAAAACTGTCTGTGTCACTACATTCTGGACCAATTGCAGTTTCCAAATGCTTTTCACCATGTAGAACATATTACAGTAATTCAAACCCCAGGAATGAATCACCGTGAGCAAGGTCTTCCAGTCCAGGAATAGGTGCAACTGATGCATAAGACGAACCTGGGCAAATCCTCCCAGCTACAGCTGCCACCTGCTGTTTGAGCAGGAGCCATGAGTCCAGGGGGACCCCAAAACTGTGGACCAATTCTGACTGGGGAAGTGCACCTCCAGGCAGAGTTAAAGATGGAAAATTTCCAGAGCCAGAGGACCTTAAACCCACAGCTACTCAATCTTGCCAGGGTTGAGCAAAAGCCTGTTCTCCCTCATTCAGATGCCATAGACTCTAAGCACTGGTAAAGGACCTTGGCAGCATTGCTTGGTCAGCCCAGGACAGAGATGTACAGCTGGATATCATGAGCATACTCCTGATCCCCTAAGCCAAGTCAAAAGCATAATTTAATCCATTGTATGAAAGGCTGCTAACAGTTAAAGGAGGGCCAGGATGGATGCACTATCCTATCCCAAGCCCAACAGAGGTCATCAACAAGTGCAATCAGTGCTGTCTGTACTATAATCAGACCTGAATCCTGACTGAAAATGGTCTGATGATATCTTCTTAACCACCTTCTCTAAGACGAAAAGGTTGTAGACTGTTGAAAATTGTCCAGATCCATTGGGTTCAGTGACAGTATCTTCAGGAGAGGGAGGACAACCACCTCCTTCAAGGCAGAATCACCCCCTCCAGCAGAGAATCATTCACCAATGCATGGGCCCAACCACTTGTCATCTCCCAGGAGACCTTAATCAACCAGGAGGGACAGAAATCTAAAAGCAGATCCTGTCCACTTCATCAGGGCTAACAGATTCAAATTCTTCCCAGATAATTGGGCAAAGCTGTGCCTCAGACAACTCCTCAGGACCTGTATGGCTGGATTCCAACTTTGATTAAATCAAAACAACTTTATCTGCCTAGAATAATCCTCGCAGCAGCCCTGCAAGTGTTTCTGTGGGCCCTTCTTACCCAAGAGGGAACAGTTTACCCTGAACAGGGCCAACAGTTGGCTCTCTGGATGCAATAAGGGTGGAGAAGTAACTTTTTATGACATACTTATTGTCGTGAGGTAACAGGTAATCTGTGAGTCAGGCTAAAGATAACTTGGGTCAAGTGCATGTTTGCCATGGTGGCAATGAACTCCTGAGCCGCTTCCAAGTCCCCGTCAAAGGACAGCAGAATGAAGAACCATAAGACTGAGGAATCTCACTGCCAACCCAGCCATAGACTCCAGTAGCTCTATGCAGCAGGGAGGTTGTACACATGCAACAGTCCTTTCTGATCCTAACAGCCCAAGTTCACAAACAAGGCCTCACACTCTGCAATCTGTGGAGAAGCACCCCTGAAAGCTACTAAGATTTCTCAGATAACATTTGCCACACCTCCATCCCAACCCTGGGTTCACAACTGATGGCACACCTGACACCTGGCTGGGCACATCTCTGAGATGGAAACACTCCTCCCCCGGGCTCAGCCAGGTTTTGATAACAAGTTCAAGTGGATAAGGTCAGTTTTGTTGCAGGTTGACGGTGCATTAAGCAGCAGCAGCCAGAAGACAGGGTCCCTAGCACCTGTGAGACTAGGCTGAAGCTGCCATAACCTAAAGATGAAGCAGGCAGGTAAGCAGAGAGGACAAAAGCCAGGAAACTTATCTATGGGATCCCTTCAGGGAGGTA